ATAAGTATATCAATGAATAATATATAATTCTCTCTCTCTCTCTCTCTATATATATATATATATATTCAGAAGTGCACCTCATTTCTATGGCAGTGTGGATCATTATTATTGGCATTTAGCGTGTCATCCAGCATGACCAGGTTATAGATTACAATTCCTGCTCATCTACGACACATGTCTGTGAATTAATTCAACAGAGAGCCTGAGCAAACAGACTGTCAGAATAATGAATTTCTCTCCAGGTCGGCCAGTAAGCTGTGAGCACACACGCCCTTCTGACGGGCCTCCTATTTTCCAATATTTCACGTGAAAGCAAGTGAGCTTTGATCAGCGCGCATGACGGAGAGGAAATTAATGCAATGCGCTTGCAGAGAAAAAAGCAACTGTGGGTCCTGCAGCTCACAGAGAATTGCGCTTCACATCAAACCAGTTCAAGATATTCATGCAATTTTTGGGTTACACAAATGATCTATTTATAAAAATAAATATCACCAATGTATATCTTATTTCTTCAAAAGGTTGCTTGAATTTTGCACAAAATAAGCTTCGTTTTTGTTTGTACTTTACTTAATGCACAACATCACAGCACAAAACACTCTTTCATGCCAGGCATAAAGGAACCCTGATGTTACATCATTCCCCCTGTGCACCATTAATATTTTTCTATCGCCGTCACACACACACACACACACACACACACACATTAATATTTTTCTATCGCCGTCACACACACACACACACACACACACACACACACACACACACACACACACACACACAATGGATGTGAGGTTGCATTAGTTTTCTCTCTCTGACAAAAATCAGCTCATTATAAAAATGTTGCAACACCAAAAATGGTTTACATGGCACTTTATCTTCAATGTGTCAATCTATATGCATCAATATGCAAGAAAAAAAATATTTTTTGAGATATTTTAATGACCCCGGTTTATGCCTCTCATAGACCCATTCAATTTGTCTCATTTCTCACTTTTTCTAATTTTAGAGGTCAGTATTTCTTCCCTGATGAGACTCTGAACCACTTGGACTTGAAAGGAACATGTTTTTCTTCCAATCTACCAATTTGTACAAAGCCAAAAATCAAAGTTCATGAGATATCATGCCCTAAACTTGGCTTTCTGGATATCTGAGCTTTACAAAATGAAAATCTACATGAAATATTTACACACCTCAGGTCATTATAAAAATCTTGCAGTGCAATGCAAAAAAAGGTTTACATGAGACTTGAACTTCAACATCCATGCATAAATCTGTGCATCAATCAACTCAATTTTCTAGAATTTTTTCACATTTACCAAGTTTAGAGGACAGTTTAGAAAATATTTCTACCAGGATGACTCTCTCAACCACTAAGACTTGAAGGGAACACATTTTTCTACCAATCTACCATTTTGTACAAAGCTAGCAATCCAAGTTCCTGAGATATCATACCCTGAACATGGCTTCTCAAGACATTTATGCCTATTAAAAAATGCTAGAATCTACATGATCTACAGTGTTTATGACATTTCCCCAATAAAAACAGCATTTGAGTTTCTGCCTATAAACATGTTCAATGACTGAGAGACAAAGCAGGGCTGATGTAACATCACAGGTTCTCACATCACACCGAACACTCGCCGACAGCCATACTCACATATTCAGCTGTGTCGTCCATTTCCCACTAACATCCCCCACCCGGGAGGAGAAAGAGGGAGCGCGGTTTGAAAGAGAGGAAAAAGACAGACAGAAAGAAAGAGAGGAAAGCGTAAGACCAAACAAGGTAAAAGTGCCAAGGAAATGGAAGAACGGCAGAGTGTTTTAAAGTAGGTCAGTGTGGATTAGGGTGAAAAAAATCATGAAGATTGAAGACGAGGCAGGAAATTGAGTGGCCGCTGCTATCTGAGCATGTCATTCCTGCAGTTTTTTCTTCACCATTTCATTTAGTAAGAGTATAAAAAGGCTGTTTTGGAATTTAATATCAGATCACAACAGCTATTCTTCTGAAAAATGCTCCAAGTCTTATGCGATGCAAAATTAATTTGATGTCTAAAAGTTTTGAGATAACTCACCTCAACCCCAAAAATTTACTTATAATTTTTTTTTTAATATGAATATTTTATTATTTTATCATTACATAAATGTTTGTGATATTTAAACAGTCTAAAACAAATCATAAAAAAAAAAATCACCTTTTGTACAGAATAAACAGAATCAATATTATTGTATCGTGACCCAGATATCAATATAATATCAACCGATTACCACAAAGCTGACAACTGTAAATTATACTGTCATAAACATAAGCGGGATAAATTAAAAAGCTTTAGTCACAGTTTGTTCAAAGCTGTAATATTTGCAGCTGTGAGGAGAATAAGGCACATGGTATCTGTAATTTCACTGTTTTCATGACAGAAGCTTGTATTATAATTTTAGGTTGCAGCCAGAGGCGCTCGCTTGCTTTCTCTTCTTTTTTTCTTTCTTTTTCTGCCGCTTCTACTTTTAAATCAAGTCTGAATTGTGATCGCAGTGCTCAAGTGCCTCATGTTTTTCTGGAGCTCTCGGGGCGCTCAATACGGCTGACATAATCAGCTTTTGTTGACTTTATCTATGACACTAGAGCCTTAGAGGTTAAACTTATTAAAGGTTTGACTAAACCGTGCAGTTCTAATGGCTGATAAGATGTTTTGGACTGCTTGTGGAAAGCATTCTAGAGGCTATAAAAGAACTTCACAGATTAAATTGTTTATAAAAGGATTTTCATACATTTGTTGCAGTGGCCATGAGTGTGTTAAATACTTGCAAGATATTGGGTCGCATTTGCTGCAACAGTATTCTAAAAATAGACATTAACCAATTGTCTGCGCACCCTTGATGACGTCAGGTAAAAAGAAAATTGGAAAGAAATACAATAAACAACAACATTTTTGTTTCAGGAAATGTTAATATTCAGCACAGCGGCATTGTTGCGTTAACATACCTGCGCATCGGCGAGCATGACGTCCTTGATGAGGGGCAGGCCACGGGATTCGCCATTCTCGACACGGACGTAGTGCACCTGGTATCCACGGATCTGCCCGTGCTGTTTCCCTGGCAATAGGGAGCGCCACATTACCTTGATGGCGGTGGAGTTCAGCACCTCAACCTCCACACGCCGAGGGGGGGCCCCGGGCACTGCAATGGGAAAAGATGACACGCTATGAGCTACTGAGATTACAATATTATCATTAAAATTAAATTTTAAAAAACATTATGGTGGCTTTTGCCTGTGCAAAACTCACCAATATGATGCTAAGTTGTTGCTTTGTGCTACTTGAGTTACTTACCTAATTTTTGTTCATATTACTAACTCTTAGTTTGAGCAATGGTAGTAGTGATAATTGCCTTAGCATTTTCATCATGAATGGGACATAAGAAGTCAATTAAAGCTTATGTTTTACAATCAAAACACATTGATTAGTATCTTTAGTTTTTAATGAGCAAAATTAAAACCCACTCGTCTAGAAATGTTTCACTTTTTACCAATTTTAGGGGTCAGTTTTAAAAATATTTTTATCCTGATGAGACTCTGAACCACTTGGACTTGAAGGGAACACATTTTTCTACCAATTCACCAATTTATCCATAGCTAGCAATCATCACACCTAAGATATTACACCTAAACATGACTTTCCATATGTTTTTTGGGCTTTAAAAAAACTAAATTGTTAAAATTTGCATTAAATATTTTACACACCTCGGTTCATTATAAAAATCTTGCAACACAATAAAAGTGTTTATATGAGACTTAAACTTCACTATTTATCAAATTTAAAGGTCAGTTACAAAAATATTTCAACCCTGATGTTCACCTCCAGATGTTTTTGGGCTTTAAAAAGCATGAAAATTTTAAAATCTACATTAAATATTTTATACACCTCAGTTCATTATAAAAATAATGCAACACAATAAAACTGTTTACATGAAACTTGAACTTCAACGTGAATGCATATATCTATGGATGTCCCTTCATTTTCTTTGTGACTTACTTCGTGATTACCACTCTTTTACTCACTATTTACCAAAATTAAAGGTCAGTTAAAAAAATATTTCAACCCTGATGAGACTCTGAACCACTTGGACTTGAAGAAAGCACATTTTTCTACCAATCCACCAATTTATACATAGCTAGCAATCATGGTTCCTGAGATATCATACCCTTAACACACAAAATCTTCTTTAATTACATCTGATTCGGCAAGGACAGACTCTCTGTCTGATCTAAAAATAGTGCAATGTACCAATTATTACTGAGCACCTTAAGACTGTACGATATGCCATCTCTGTATGGCTGAAAAGAAAATAAGCTCCTGCGTCTCAGCTAGTACATACATTCAATTATGTGAAAACCAGGCTACTGATTAAGCGCCCATCTTCAGGGACATTTAATCAACTGTAATATCACACCCCCATATACCCGAGCAACCATTTCATCCCCTTCCATTTCACTATCTTTCTTATCTGAGCACTGATCAATTCGCGAGTCTGCCATCTGCAGTCTTTTACCTGCGAGCTAATGAAAATCCTTTTATACGAGGCCTTGATGTTTAATACCTCCGGTCATTCAGTACTGCTGTAAGGAGGAGACCGATTTCCTGGATGGTCAATAAAAGACGCCATAAGGGGATGTACTGTATATTGGGGCCTGACTATTCCATATTAGATGCTATAACAGTACAAGTCTCCAAGGATGTGACTGTCGTAATGCATCGCTACTCAAATAGCTCCATGTTGTAGGTTGGTCAAATGAGATTTCCCAGCGGAGGTCTTGGGGTAGCGTTCCCTCTCTCCCGACCCGCCTACAGTGGTTGACCGGCCCGTCAAAACTATCCATCCTAGGGCGGCCCAAAGCGCCAGTGAAAGGCTGTGCTCCGTATTGATTTCTAGCTTGTATCTTGAACTAGCGCTGTCAGTCATGGAGAAAGACTGCTGTCACCGGGGAACGTCCGACACAATTTCTTACTCTAGCTGGATTTATTTCAGTGCTCATAAGCTGTCCGAGCGCTTTACAAAGAGAAGTGATGGATGAAAATGATGCTAAGTCAGTGTTTCCTCTATCACGTAATGCTAGTCAATAGATCTTGTCCTGAAAAGAGTAAGCTGTCTACACGGACGTATAATCAACATTTCTCTCGCCTCATCCACCATCTTGGATTTATTTTCTCACTAAAATTGGCCAGAGACCATATAAGGTCAATAGAAAATGAATGGGGGAAATTATAAGACCAAATATGGTGGCTGTGGGAAAGTAGGTACAGCCTTTTAGTTAAAAGAGCCAATTGCGTTAGACCAAACTGAAAAACAGTTTTGTTTTTTTTAGCTTGAAATCAGGTGAAGTCAGCTTGAAATCACTAAGAACAGATCCATTACAACTAATGATATAAAATGTTAAACATTTAAAACATGTAAAGCAAGATCAATGTACTTGAGAATCAACACTGTGTACGATAATACAAGTGTATTTTGTCTTTTTGAACTGGCATATTGTAAAAAATTATTTTTCAAAGTTGTAAATAAAGATTACTGGAATACACTTTACAAAAATACTATTTCAGTCTTTAAACTGTTAGATTTTGCTGTATTTGGCTGAGCAGTGGTTTGGGTGGCTAGCCAATTTCTCCAATACATAAAATAAGTAAGCTTGACCAGAGTTCTTGTGAGGAGAAGAATTTACTGAAGGTAGCAGTGTAGCAGCTCTTCAACAGTGATGTTAGCTTGTCGGTCTTCAAAAAATCTTAACCCTTGTAAGAATCTCAGCTTCTCCCAAAGTTCTGTCTGTGAGACAAATAATAGATACTGTTAGGACCTTCTGTAGGAGTTCTGTTCCTTTGTTTTTCTAATTGTACGGACCATTATGTTCACACCTTTACAGACTGTTTCTCTTGATTGCATCTGAGGCACAATCACAATGTAAATGCATCTGATTAATACTTTCTAAAGATCTTTCATTGCTTCAGAATTTCATGTTTAATTCAATGTGTTACTGGCCATTTATTTGTAATTAATTGTAAAATTTACTAGCAATTTCTGAGTGACCATTTTTTTCCAGAGTAGATTTAAAAAAAAAAAAAACTTATTTCAGGTTAAAAAAAGTAATTAGATTTCATCTATGAAAACAAATATTGGTATCTTATACAGTGTTGTTTCTCAATTAAATTTCTCTTCTAGCAAACTTTGAGATATTTCAGCTAGAAAACAAGTCAAAAGACTAATTTTAAATTACCGTCCTCGTCTGTGCGGCACAGCAGCGGCTCGCTCTCGGGGCCCGGACCCACGCTGGTGGAGGCCGCCACGGTGACTCGGTACAAGGTCCATTTCTCCAGCCGCTGCAGCTGGATCTGATTGGAGCTGGGGGGCACCGCTGGCTCCTCCACGGGCTCCGTGTTGACCTCGGCCCCGGCCCCCACCACCGCGTAGCGCACTATGTACCCGGCCAGTGCCCCATTCTGGCTCTCGGCCGGCGGAGGGCGCCAACTTACCAGCAGGGTGGTGGAGCTGGAGCTGGAGCACTTAATGTCTTGAGGGGGGGCGGAGGGCTCTGCTCAGGTTTGGGAAAGGGGGAGAGGAAGGGGTGGAAAACAAAAAACGAAAAGATGGGAAAGAGAAAAAGAAAATGATAAAAGGGAAAAAACAACTGAAAAAAACAAGCAGAGACATACTGAAACATAAGAGAAAAAAAACTAGTAAAACAACGCAAAGGGCAAATGCAAACAGAAGAGCTTGGTTTTGAAGGGGTCAGGGTGTCTGGCATGCATGCATAAATATGAAGCATGAAGGTTTAACTTTGGCTTGATTTCCGTGTCACAGATCTAGAAGTAACACCACATATGTTGGGCGTAAGATACAGCAGTTTTTCCAACTATAACCGGCTGTATGCGAGCCAAAGATTTAGCCCATCTTTCACAGTAAATACCCTGGGCTCTCAGGATATTTTTCCACCATGAGGGGAAAATAGATCACATTATTTGCATTTGAATGAAGACCATTCATTGCAGTATTTCGAGTTTTTTTTTGTTGGGTACTTTCCCTCGCACATATCAGAAATTACAACGTCTGTGCTGTTCTACATCAATACAAAAGTCTCGTTTGAAATGCACAGAGTTTCTGCTTATTAAATGCTTGCACATATGAATGCATATTTCATCTCCAAAACAAATGCAAACAGAAGAGCTTGGTTTTGAAGGGGTCAGGGTGTCTGGCATGCATGCATAAATATGAAGCATGAAGGTTTAACTTTGGCTTGATTTCCGTGTCACAGATCTAGAAGTAACACCACATATGTTGGGCGTAAGATACAGCAGTTTTTCCAACTATAACCGGCTGTATGCGAGCCAAAGATTTAGCCCATCTTTCACAGTAAATACCCTGGGCTCTCAGGATATTTTTCCACCATGAGGGGAAAATAGATCACATTATTTGCATTTGAATGAAGGCCATTCATTGCAGTATTTTGAGGTTTTTTTTGTTGGGTACTTTCCCTCGCACATATCAGAAATTACAACGTCTGTGCTGTTCTACATCAATACAAAAGTCTCGTTTGAAATGCACAGAGTTTCTGCTTATTAAATGCTTGCACATATGAATGCATATTTCATCTCCAAAACGAACATTTATCTCCATTGTAAAATCGAGCATTAAAAGTTACTCTGTCGCACTGATTCCTGAAGCCATAAGTAACACAAATGAATGAGTGGGAAACGGACAGACGGGGATAAAACATATTTGTGACTGAAATTCAAATGGATGAGCACCATCGTTGGAAAGCAAAACAAAATCATTCAAAACGGATTACAGGAAAATGAGGAAACTTTCTGCGAAATAATGGCTGGAAAGAAAATGTTAGCACCAAAATGTCAACTCAGAAAAATCATGGAAAGCCACCAAGCTTCGAACAGAAAGTAAGACCACTGAAAACAGCAAAAACAAAAACTAAAACACAAAGCATTTTCCTGTACATTATACGTACCTGACATCTTCAAACACTAACTTTTAAAGACTTTCTTACCACAAGCACCCGATTCCAGGGAGGCTATGTTTCCCCAGAGTCGGTTGGGTTCGGCCCTCTCCCTCTACTGCCAAGCTCATCCAATACAGCTCAATTCAAACTATTCACATTAATTTAGCCTAGTTCATTGGTTTAGTCCAATAATGTGAATGTCGGGATGTTTTTTTTGGTCGGAGGGAGAGAACTTTCCCTGTGCTTTCATCAGTCTGCACTATTCAATGTTTACACTAGCCTGAGGGTCCACAAGATTGAGATCAGGGTGCTAGCACCTCGCTTACACCCAGCCATTCATAACCAAGTTATATAACCCACCCCAATTCAACCCATCAGCAGCCCACTTGTGCTTTTGTTTGAGAAATGGTTAACCGATTTGTCCCGTCACCAGCCAGCTTTCATAACAGGTGTCTCACAGTTCAGTGAGCGACATTATTCAGAGCCTTGTTTATTCACCAAATGGGCTTATTGGATTAAAGTTTTATTGGATTTTCATCTTCCGTTTGAAGATATATTCTGAAGATGTACTTCCTCTCTTGAAGAGTATTTGCATTCGGTTATTGTAAATCGACCTGGTTAGAGTGTGGCAAGGAAGTTTGGTATCTGAGAGTTGCAGAAATACCTGAAGGTTTACTCATGATTCTGGGGATGTATTATACATCAAACGCAACAAAGTCTTGAATTTCAGCGTTCGAAATGAAATGACTATTAAAAAAACAAGAGTTGTGCCTCAACACCAAAATCGAAAGGCATTTACTTATAATTTATAATTTATGACTTAATTATCCAGATCCATGCCAAATTGTGGCACTGGCAATTGGGGGGGGGGGGGGGAAC